CTTTCAAAACCCCAAGGTGGGTCCCCCCCCCAAGGGGGGGGGGGGGTGGGGGCAGACGGGGGAGAAGGGGGGGAGGGGGTGTACTCATAGTCGTGTATGCCGTAGTCGTTAGACCATTGACCTCGCATCCCTACAAAGCCGGGACGGAGCACACCGGGTTCTCACCGGACCAGGCTCTCACATCACCAAGCGCGAAGCGCCGTGAGGTATTCGGCGCGTCGCATGAAGGGGGGGGAGGTGCTTTGCAAGTTTCACTAAAAAAATAATGGATCGAGATTACTATCTTGCTGGGTACGAAAAAAGACCATACACAACGCGTGAGCCTCGTTTTACGTAGTACGGAAAAGAAAGCCTCGGTCTACGTATGTAGTATGGACAACAAGGCCGCGAAATTTTCACCCGTATACCCACGCATAATGCTGATCAGATCGTCGGGGTATTCAATTCAAGCTTGAGCCTTCACGTAGCCTTCCTTCACGTAGGGGAACACACCCACCCATGCAAGCCCGAACAACAATTAAAAATGCACGACGCCTCCGTACGTTAGTTCATCGGGTGTGAGCAACACTTTCAACCATACATGAAAATACCCGGCTTTACTAAACCGCACCTTACGCTATCCGAACGACATCTAGTTCCTACCCCCTTGCCCAGCCAGTCCTTCACGAAAGGTCTACCGCGTCTACCGCCGTTATAGTTTATTTAGAAGTATACCTTTTGTGGGTAAGGTACCCTGTGACCGCGGGAATCGACCGCGTCAAGTGTTTGACTAGTACGGACAGAAGAAGGTACTGGATAGAGAGATCGGAATGGTTGTTAATGTGAAGATAGCAGCAACAACAACAACAACAACAACAACAACAAATATCTCAAGACAGTCAACAACGGAGGTGCTCGAAACTACTGCAGTTCGCGCTTCCGACACCCACAAGCGCGCCAAGCCGACACACGCACAGACATGGCATTTCTGCTTTCAGGCGTGCTGAGACTGACGCATTTTCATTGGTCTGCCGACCGGTTAGCGCCGTCGATCCTATCAATATACCGTAGGCGACACGAAGATGCCACACCCCCTTGGCCGATTGTCAAGGCTCGAATTTCCCCACAGCAGAAGCAAGAGTGGCAGCGAGCGCCGAAAATCACCGGCGTCGAAGCCGTCTCGTCGAGAGCTTTCCGAACACGTACCATCGTTTCAACTGCATATGAATCCTCTTCATCGTGGAGTAATCCGAGCTTTGAAAATCGGTCAAGGGCGTGAGGCATCTTAGTGTCGCACAAGACACACGGGCATACAGTACACATGCATGGACCCCACCAACCTGCCAAGCAAGCGCGCGCTTCGCGACGTTCGGGGGCGCCCCGGACCCCATGGCCCCCGCGGGAGTCCTCCCGGGGCACTGGTGCGGTTCGGAGAGCGACAGCGGGGGCAGCACGCAAATGGGATCCGAGCACCGCTCGTGCTGGTTCCTCAAGAAGCTGGTGACGATCTTGTCGAGGGCCGTCGTTCCCGCGACAGCAGCAGCAGCTCCATCGCCGCCTTCTTGCCTAGTGCCACCACCGCCGCCGCCGACTGCTACGGTCCCTCTTCCTCTTCCTCGCTGGCCGCCTCCGCCCCCGCACCGGCTCTCGAACGAACCGGCACCTTTCCCTCCGCCCCCGCAACCACCCTCTTCCGAAGGGGCTCTTGCCGCCGCCGCCGCCGCCGTCCACGGTGACACCGACGGGTCGCCGTTGTTGTAAAAACCACGCGGAGTCCCTACCGGCGCCGCCGCCGCCCAACTGCCGTCCTCCCGCTCGCCGCCGGCGACACGGCGCGTCGTCATCGCCCCCCGTCCCACGGTAACGCCACCACCGCAAGCACCCCCACCGCCGCCGCCGCCGCCGGCAGCAGGCACCGAGGAGACCGCCATCGCCGTCGCCGTCCTCGTAGAGCGCTTCCCCCGGCTCGCGGCGACGCTCGCAGACGACGACGAGCAGCCGCCGCCGCCACCGGACAACGGAGAGGAGCAGGCGGTACTCGGCCGTGACGGCGTAGACGATGACCGCTCCGGCTTCGCTCGCGCCCGCCCCCCCCCGCTCCCGCCCCCTCCTTCTGCCCGGGAAGAGGTCTTGCCCGGCGTCGCGCCCGCCCTTGGCGGGACACCGCCCGGCGGCGGCCGTCGCCGGTGACCGGAGGCTGCCGCAGGGTTCCCGCTACGTCGCCGGGCGCCGCAATCGCCGAAGTAGCTCGGCGACGCGAATGCGGCGGCTATCCTTCCCGCTCGCCCCATCGGCGTCATCGCCGGTATGGCGGGGGAGCGGGCGCGGGGGCGGGGGGCCGGGCGACCGCTACTGCTGATATCCCTCAGTTCTGCCGAATCATGTTCTTCTTTTACTTGCTTGCTCTTGGGCTCGTCACCATCGTCGGCGTGACTTGAGTCGCCAACCTCCGTGCTTGGACCTGCGTCGGGGTTCGCGAGCCTAGCGCGCTTCGCGGCCCGCGCTCCCTCCCCTTCCGGATAGCCGGCTGCCGAACTTCTAGAGCGAGAGGTCGACCGCTTCAACGATGATGCCGTCCCCGCCTTTGCCTCCCCCCGTTTCTTGCCGCCACCGCCGCCGGTGCCGCCTGATCCCGCGGCGACGCCCTTCCCCTTCCCCCCCGCCGCCGCCGCCGTGGAAAAGGACAACCGTTTAACCCCCCTAACGCCGCCCCTCTTGTCCCCCTCCGTGTTGTCATCACGGCTACCCCCGCTCCTCCCCCCCGCTCTCCTCCGGTCAGCCTCCGGGCCAGCGGAGCATGAGACAGGCGACAGCAACGGGGGTGGCAATAGCTTCGCCGCCGATTCCGCCGCTGGCGGGGCGCTTGTCCCGCCGCCGCTCCATCCGTCGGCGGCGGCGGCGTGGCCAGGGAGAGGAGACTCGCCCGCTCCGCCGCCGCCGCCGGCCGCCGCCGTCATACCCGGCGTTATCCCCGCTTCTGAGGCCAACGCCTCCGCGGCACCGGCGAGTCCGTTGGCGGCGAGGTATTCGTGGATGATCTGCCGAGTGTCCCGTGTGTTGAGAGGAGGATAGTGGGGGGGTAGTTGGAGCCTTGAGAGACGACGGAGAAAACGAGCGCTAATATGTTTCGCCACGCAATCCCGTTAGGAGGACTCCAAACGACAAAAAAAAATGCCGAGAGTAGCGATTAACGAATCTCTTTTGCGCGCAACAAGTAGCAGCAGCTCACACGTTCCCCCACTTCCTGCTGCAAAAAAACAGGGTACAAGTACAGCCTTTCTGATACGGGAAAAGCGACCGTTGTTGTCTAAACCATAGCCCTCGCGAAAGATGGTCCGCCCCGCGCTACAAACAAAACAAATTCGGGCATTAAACAACGAAGACAAATTCGTGCAGTAAACACGCTCACCCCCAGAAGCTCTCTCGGCCTGAAGGTGATGGGCGTGTTGGCTACGACAGCGGCTCGCTCGAGGCCGGTTACCGCCGGGTCCATGAGGCCGCTCTTGCCCACCGTCCCGCTTAACCGGCCGGCGACCCTCGCGATAATCTGCTTAGCCGCTTCCCGCAACTGGGAGTATGTCTCCACGTTCCTACGCCCGCCAAGCGATCAAAGAAAAAAAACGAAACGAAAAACGATTTCTGCGTGTTTAGGTTGTCAAGCACCGACCCTGCAAACTACGCGGCACAACAAAGAAGACGCGTTGGTCTTAAATAACGGAGGTGTTAGTCTTAAATAATGTTTTGCCAGTCTTTAAACGACTTGTGGTCTTAGAAGACGTTGGTCTTAGAAGGCGTAGTAAAGTCTTACAGGCGTCGGTCTCGGAAAACGTTAATCTTACGAAAGACGGTATCCTTACGGTACCCTCAAGTCGAAGTTTGTGTGCGTCAGAACATTCTATCGACTACATATACTAAAAAAACAAGACGTGTGCGTACGGCGTTTTTTTGAAGAGCAAAGCTTACGATTTTCATCACAATGCAACTAATGTACCAGCGAACGGGTTCCAGCAAATTTCTGTCTCACAACAATGGTGGTCGGAATGATCTATTCGGTATACAGACGGAAATAAGCGCACCTGCCAACCACCGGGCCCGCACGCACGGTGTCGCTCAGGGTAGTGGTGATGCGCATCTTCTCAAGCATCTGGGGGTGGGGCATTGTAGACGAAGGTACGGTAGGGCAGGAGAGAAATAATCAGCAAGTAGAGAAGGAAAAGCACGGGTCGAGACAGAGAAAGTACACCGTCACCTCCTCCGCCCCCCTTCGGCCAACAATGATAAAAGGTAGGGCTGACGTCTTCTCTGATTGGTAAGCCAGCTGCTGCTTTAGCGCGGTCGATGCTGATAAAAAACACACAGACACGCACACACAAGCACCCCGCGTGCGAGCTCTCGACCGACTTCTCGGTGCCAGCTCCCAGCCGCAACAACAGCACCTCCGACAACGTCGCAGGCACGACCAAACAACAACAACAAAGAAGCCAACCTCCTTTACACCAAGAACAGTACCGCAGCAAAAATCCAAAACAACCATCAAATCCCAGGAGCAAACCAAGACCGACCTCTACAACGCGACAAAGAAAACAGCGGTATACGCCACGCATCCCCGAACAGAGCACGGCATCCCCACGAACAACAAAATACACCACAAGCAGGCCCGCGCAAAACAAACCTGCGCGATGTGGACGTCGTGGGCCAGACCCAGGAGGCACAGCGCCGCCCTCAACCGGACGGCGTCCGCGGCTACCACCTGCCTCCGGTAGCGCAGCAGCCCCACGAGCACCCGGAGCCCGTTGCTCTCCCTTATCAGCTTGCGCATGGGGCGCTGGAGCCGGTCGTCCACCACGCGATCCCCGCCGCCGCCTTGCGCGCTACCGCTACCGTCACGCCGGGACCCGGCGGCAAAGGTAACGCCGCCGCCGCCGCCGCCGCCGCCACCTCCCCTAGGCGTGCTTCTTCCGCCGCTGGCGAGGCGAAGGTTGTCTCTGTGCCCGGCTGCCGCGGTAGGATCACCGCTCGCCGAGGGCCGCTTGACCTCAGCCCCGACGTCCCCCCCACGCCCATCTGCGGTGCCCCCTCTTCCTCCGGCTGCGGCAGCCGGTCCCGACCTGTTGCCGCCGCCACCCCCGCCGCCGCCGGCGTGTAGAGGCCTGCTGCTGCTGTTGCCGCTGCGAGTGCTGCTACCGGCGGTGGCGCCGCCGGGCTGAGTTGCCGTTGAGTCGCCGCCGTCCGTTGCGGCGAAGGAGGAAGTCGCCGTTCCCGGTTGAATCAAGGGCCCGCACCCCTTGTGCGGCCGACAGCACCGGTCTAGAACCTGCGGGGTGGTGGAGTGAAGCGGGAGCGGTCATGCGCGTGTGTCTTTGTTAATTGGCATCGACTGGCCGACCAATGAAAAGGTGTTAGGCTCAGCGCGGCTGAAAACAGAAAATGCTTGCTGTACGTGTGTATTGGGTGTTCCGGGCTGCCTTTTAAGAATTCCTCCCTACAGTTTCGTCGAGAATGCATGGTCCCTGGTCATACAGGCGTGCCTTTTCCACTTAGGGGGTGCGATGTGGGGGCAAAGAAGGAATCCTCTGCGATAGAAGGGCTTCCGCTCTGTGTTGAGACACTACCTGAAAAAAAACTGTTGTTTTGAATTTGCTTATAACGTTTCTTAAAGATTTGCCACGGCTGCTGCAGATCGCGCAAAACACCGTTGCCCTCAGCATCAGCGAGACTGAGGCAGCCAGAAAAACGTGCCTGTGTCTCTTTCATCTGCGCTATGAGGCTCCCTCCACAACCACTACCCACACCAACACCGCACGCAACGGTGGTGGTCAAAGACAACTTCTTCAAAACAAACATAAGAGGGGGGCACACAACAAGCAAGCCATCCAGGCGTCTGAGCAGAGTACCGTCCTTTTCCGTGTGTGCGGGTGTACGCTTGTAAACGCACGACGTAGAAGTTAGACCATCGACCTCGTATCCCTACAATGCCGGGACGGAGCGGATTTTCGTCGGCCCAAGTTACGTCGCACAAAGACGAACCAGAAGCTGGACATCCTTGCGATTGCTGTGCCAATCCAGGCATGCCATGGGTTGATAAAGCATCCCGGCTAACTGAGCGTTTCACATTCGGCAAGCACGACAATAACGTCAAGTACCGCAGGGGACTTCGATCTTGGGGGGGGTGGGGGGGTGTACTCATAGTCGTGCATGCCGTAGTCGTTAGACCATTGACCTCGCATCCCTACAAAGCCGGGACGGAGCACGCCGGGTTCTCACCGGACCAGGCTCGATCTTGGGGGGGGGGGGGGGGAAATACCCTACCCTGGGTGTCCGTCAGGGGGGGGGG